GAGGCCAAAGCTATGGTCCAAACCTGACCCATACGTTAGGTTAAGGGTCAGGTTAGGGAGAGCCTTTCGTGTTTTGCGGTAGCGTACAGACCGCAGTCGAGAGAAGAGGAGAGGAGAGGAGAGGAGTAGAAGATGAAATGAAAGAAGGGAACTTTAAAATTAAAAAAAAAAAAAAAAAAAAAAAGGGAACTGCGGTCAATATACTCACAGGAGTACTTTTCCTGGATGTACGTGACCGCTTTTGCGTCCAGACCTGGATGCACCTGACTGCCATGGGGTCCAGAGATAAGTTGTAAAAGTCCTAGTGTATGCCCTGCTAGTGATAATGATAGTGATTTTTGTTTTTTTTGTTTTTTTAATTAAAAAAAAAATAGGGGCCAAGTCCCACTAGCATGGGTGAGCTACCTCAACGCGTGAATCTGGACGCTTTTGCGGAGATGTGCAGAAATGGTGTTGAGTTTCCTGAACTGCACGTGGAGTCTTTTTTTTTGTCTTTTTTTTTTTGTAGCTGGAGTCTTATACGTATGATAGTGATAATGAATTGGAGATCCGCCTCAAGATTTCAAATTTGGAATATAACATGAGACTACTTGTGTGAGATTAAAAAAAAAAAAAAAGAAAAGGTAATGAATTGGAGATGAATGAAGAAAGGGAGGGAGGGGGAGGAATAGAGAGAGAGAGAACAGAATCTTTCTCGATGAGGGATCACTGTCGGAATGGTCGGTCTGCAGACCAACTTTTTTTTCTTTTTTTTCAAAAAAAAAAAAACGGACGACGGCCTTGAGATATTATTATTGAGCTGACCGGCCCTAAGCAATTCATTAGTAGTTGATTTTACTCATCAAGTTCCATCATCTGGATTCGAACACAGGTCTGTATTCACCAGTTCATTGTGTACCCACTTGGGTCTGCAGACCAACTTTTTTTTTTTTTTTTTTTTTTTATGATAAGTTTCAGCTTATACTATAAAAGTAATAGGATGAGGCCGGGAATCCCTCAACATCTCAACCCGGGAGTGACCCTTGTGCTGGAAACCGGGTCCAGCGTCCCATGGTCTGCAACTCCAAAAAGAAAAAAATTATGCAACTGGACCAAAAAAACGGAGACAGAAATAGAGGGAGGAAAATAACCCGGAACTACAAAAAAACCTGCTACCTGTCTGGGAGTCTTACCCAGCTTCTCTTCAAGATCTTACGGAACAGAGAGCAAGTACCTATCTGTAAACTCCAGGAAGCCTGAACCGCCTAGATGGGTTTCCCACCACACACCCTTGGATCTTCATTGGCAACAACATTCCACGAACCCAGATCACCATGGATACAGTTCAAGTTTGCTTCCTCCAAACGAGTAGCGTTCCCATCACTGACGGGTGCTCTCCCACTGCCACCGTAGTGCCGCCGCTCGCAGATGCTGTGTAGCCTCTCAGACAGGACCTCAATCTCAATCTAACCTAAACAGATTTCCAAACTCAAGGAAGCCTGAACCGCCTAGACAGGTTTCCCACCACGCACCCTTAGATCTTCAATAATACCAGCTTTCAATGTCCGGAGATCAGCATGCATACAGTTCAAGTTTGCTTCCTTCGCTACTTACGCTAACGACTAGCGTTCCCACCACTAACAGTAGCACTCCCACTGCCTCCGTAGTGCCGCTACCCACATTAGCGGTATTACCTGATGAGAATGAATGCATTTCCAAAACTTCAAAACCTAAGAAAACGGAGAACAAGGTATAAGGAAGAAGGTAGAACCCCAAACAAGCATACCAATCCAGTCTAAGATCAAAGGAAAAACAGAAATACAACCAATAGACGAACAGAATACCACACTCGTTTCAGTATTATGTCTCTAGAGCGCAGCCCCCCTTCAAGGGGCCTGGATCGCCGAGACGGGTTTCCCACCACGCGCCCTTGGATTTCTTATGGATACCGTGCCAATCCCAATGGGCACAAACCAAGTTTGCCCCCTGCATAGCCAGTGCTACCCCCGCTTGTGCTCACTACAGGCTGAACGCGTTCCCACCACCACTGGATGCCCTCTCACTGCTACCCGTGGTGACGCTGCTCCTAGTTAGGTTGAGTGAATCCAATGTTCCCAAACAAGGACACAAAGAGTGAACAGCCTTACGCCAACCTTATTATCTCGCCAAGTAATGATGAGGAGAGACGTCCTCAGTCTGGTTCACAGCAAGCTAATCCAATAGACCGTCAAGTACAGCACACATAGTTTCATACTCTTTCAACCCAGCTCCTAACTTCGGAACAGGATGGACAGTGAATCTGGCCTACAAATCGGCCTACAATCATAAACTATATCCTCAAATCATGGGCAGATACACAACTATGATTTGAAATGTCTGCATAACCCCGGATTTGAAAATTAGATCGAATAGCTCTAGCGGCGAAAGAGATGGATGAAGAAACTCTACAAGGTACATCCAAAATCAACCAATTAGGCGACACATGCATATATTGCGTCACTGGAAAATCGTCCACACATTACCAGGATTAGAAACTCAATTGATCCAACCTTCATCATGGCCACCTACCATCATAAGCAGCAGATCTGGTTCCAGAAGAAAGGGAGTAGGAACAAATTCAAAACCTGGCCAACATTTTACCTGATGAGTTTTGAG